TTTTTTTTTTTCATCTCCTGCCAAGTCTCACTAATGCAACTTGGAAAATTGCAACACAGCTTTTAATGAGGATTCTGAGCTAAGAGCCATTTCACCAGAGAAGACTGTTCTCTCCTTTTATGGGAAGAATAACACCTACTGTTTCTATAGCACCAGCCTTCCAAGAAGTCGAGCATATCACGTTTCATTAATCTGAATGGCAACCTGCCTGTCAAGCTGGGATCCAGCGCTGCTACTCTCTGCCACACTCCTATTGAAACTGGGGTCATTAAATGAAATTATTTTCTCAGGACTACAAACCCTGAAACAGTGAAGGACTCATGATCTGTCTGCATCTTGCACACTCTGTCTATGTTCTAGGTTGTTGCCTCTCCACAGTCCTCTGGGCTCCTTGGCTACCACCTCCCATGAACATGTAAGACATTTTCTTACAACTAGGGGTGCTGACACAGATGAGCTGCAGCCTGGCAGCGGTGCCTTTTCTGGAGGCTTTCTTTCCTTTCCTAACAGCTTGTCTCCCATTTCTATGGTCTTTTCCTGCTTCCCAGTCCAAGCATCTCCTTAATTCCTGGCCAGCAACACGACTTCTCTCTTCCTCCAGCACCAACCTAGAAAACTTCAAGGACCAGAGACCTACCACACGGGGTTACATCTCACAGATCACCCAGGTCCACCCCACCACTCAGATACGTCAAATCAGTCCCTTGGTCAGTAGACCCTATCTCCTGTGCACTCAAGGGCATCTGTTCTGTTTCCATGAGAATCAATCAAGTTTTCCTTTCCTTCCGGAAATTTTCCATTAGCTTAAGTACTGGAATTGGTTAGCTCTACTGTAGTAACCAATCAAACATCAAGTTCGTTCTTCTTTTCGCCCTCCCTCCTCCCTCTCTCTTCTTTGAAACTCACTATTGCCAAGGCTGGGCTCAAATGCTTCAGTTTTATAAGGGGCCACAAGTCTGCTTCAACAGGCCTATCTTAAAACACTAGATTTTGTTTGTTTGTTTAGTTTTTTAAGACATGGTTTCTCTGTGTAGTGCTTGCTGTCCTGGAGCTTACTCTGTACATCAGGCTGGCCTTGAGGTCTGCCTGCCTCTGCCTCCCGACTGCTGGGATTAAAGTTGTGCTCCACCACTGCCTGGCTTAAAACACTAGATTTTAATGGCTTAACATGGAAGTCTGTTTCTTAGTCATGTCAGAATGTGATGTGGTGAAACAGAGAGGCTCCCTTTTGCAGAGGGCGACTGTTAATGCAGGACTCACATCTGGTCAAGGTGCTCTGGGTAGGTGACAAGAGAACGCATAGCTTTAAATGGGACACCCAAACCAACCCCTCAAGGCTCACGGGACACAGAGCAAGAGGGAGCAGAAAGAACGTAAGTGCCAAGGATGAGGACACATGCCAGAAGATGTTGCCATCCAGATACAATGTGGCCAACGGATATCTGCACTAGATCGGACCCTCCAACATTCCATGGAGACTAGAGGAGGTTAGATCGGACCCTCCAACATTCCATGGAGACTAGAGGAGGTTTTCCGAGGCTCCACCCCGTCCTGAGAAGCTAAGGACTGCTAATGGTTGTGGCTGGGGTAGAGAGGGTTAGGTATCAATTTCTTACAGGTGTAGCCATTGGGGGATTTGTTCTGTTCAGAGGGAGAGGAAGAGGGATGGCAGAGGGTGATGAGGGTGACCGTAATTAGAACACATTGTATATACACGAAATTGTAAAAACCCAAAGCGATTTGAGCCAGATGGCTGTCCTTCAGCCCTGACTCAGGGATTTGGGCTTCAGCTTTCCGAAGTTCTTGGGCACCAGCTAAACTGATGGGGAAAGTCAGGAAGGACTCAGGCCACTCTAACAGTCTCAGACCAGAAGTGACAAGGCGGCCCATCTCCATGCCACTGGCTACACTTAGTGACATGGCCTACTTGACTACCAGTGGAGCCTTTCTTTGTGCGTCCAGGAAAGGAAGGAAAAGCGGGTGTGGTAAACACTAGTACTGTTTGCTGCAGTGTGCAAGCATGCTGGAGTGTTTTCCTACTTAACAGAAAAACTATTTCCCTCCAGCTACTGGCCCAGGTCTCTGCTCGCTATAATCTGAGCAGCCTTACTTACAGGCAGCTGAAACTGGGCCTTCTGTTCTGTGGAACACAGGTGGGTCGGCTTTCTGCTCCTACTGCATCTGCCCACCAAGTGCTCAATGAAATCCCAAGCAGCTTCTACACTGCTGAGTGGCCTTTAATACTCTGATTTCCAAGTTCATAACTCCAGGCTAGACTTTGCCCATGAATATACATACATACATACATACATACATACATACATACATACATATATATGAATAAACAAAACTGGGTATTAAACACTTCTACTTGGATGTGAACAGGCATCTCAAACTCCACACATACACACAGGACTCCCAGTCCTGCTCAACCCTCTGCATCCACAAATTTACTCCCCCGTCTTGACTGATCTCAGTTAATGGTAATATGGTTCTTCCATTATCGTTGGAGCTAACTGTTTCTCATTTCCTCCTCTCCACTCATATATCCAGCTTGCAAGGACATCCCCTAAGCTCTGTCTTCAGAACAGCCCCGGATGTGGCACTGACATCCCTCTGTGCCATTATCAGGGTCCTCACTTAGCATATGCTAAGACACTCCGTGAGGGGGTGGAAACTATAGAAGGCAGGACCTAGTGGGAGGAAGGATGTCCCTGGGGTGGCTTCCTGGAGGATGTGTATGACTTGGATCTTTGTCTACTTTCTCAGCTTCCTGGCCATTAGGAGTCAGCCAACTCTACTCTACTGTGCCCTTCTGGCATGGTGTTCTGTGCTACCTCAGGCCTAGAAACTACACAACTAAGTGATGATGGACTGCTATGGTAAACCAAACGAATTCTTCTGCCTTTAAGTTGTTTTTCTCAGGTATTTTTTCCAGTGACAGAAGGCTGAGTAACACACGGGTGACACACGGACTATAGGGACAAACGTCATTGTTTAGGGCCAGAAGCAACAAGACGAATACTATAGCCAACTCACTCTTAACTAGTACTATAGCCAATTCACTCTTAACTAGTACTATAGCCAATTCACTCTTAACTAGTACTATAGCCAATTCACTCTTAACTAGTCCAACCATACAGGCCAAGCACACTTTCACTGCATGTCTTTGGCTGCAGTCAGGGTCTTCTCACTCTGAATAGATGTGAGTAATGGCATGGAGAGAAGCATTTGTATCAAGGGTTTGACTGGAGAAGAAACTTCAGATTTTGTAACACTTATTTATAACTTGGCTTTCTTTACCTTTTACTGGACAGGTATTATATGCTGGTAAATAATTTAAGGGCTTCAGATTTTTAGAGACTCTTAAAAGTAAGAACCTGGCTCAGAGAGATTAAGTAGAGCAGGATTCAAGTTATAATTGGGAACAGGCTGGGGCTTAGGGAAGGATGAGGTAGGGCTAACATAGTCACTGAGGAAAGACTCATTACATAAAGTAAGATTTTCATTTGTGTATATATTTCAATATCTTATTTTTGGAAATGAGTAATACACACACACACACACACACACACACACACACACACACACACACGAAATGGCTCTCAAATAGAAAATACTGATAAATAAACAATGAGCATCACTTCCTGAGACTACTTTGAATTACTTGAAGTTCTGTCAACAGTTCCAGAGAATTCTAGAGTTGGAATGAGTAAGGAAGGTGTTCTTGTTCCCACCTGGAGAAGGTAGACTTGCATCTGACAAGTGGCCTGCTGCAGGATGGGCTGGATTTAAAGCCTTTACATTTATGATCTCAGTTAAACCTAGCGACAACTCACTGACTGCTACTCCTCCATTTAGTTCAGCTGGAAACGCCCACCCTGCTCAGGACCACACCATGGCCGCCATTGCTCTGTCTTCTCTTGTTACCTGCTACCGAACAGTCCACTCCCTGACTTGACCCTGGTCACTTCATCTTTGAATGGTTTATTCTTTTCCTTCTCACACGACTGTACAAGAAATGAGAATAGAGCTGTCTGTGATGATTATGAAAGGATGGCTAGGTGAAGCTATTTCAAACTGATACGGTTCATCAGCTGGCCATTCTGCTCTGTGCAGGCAGTCACAAACATCGTCTAGCAAGGGACTGCAATCTGGTGTCTCCTCAATCCCACACATCTTGCTTTTAGCGCTGCGTACTGAACATGCTAGGCAAGTGCTCCAGCACTGAGCTGCATCTCCATCCCCTTCTGTCCGTTTCTTTCATGTTAGATTTGGACGAGTTCCGGTGGTGTGGATGATCATCCACCACTCCCTACTGTTTTACGTGTAACTATCGACTCAAGAACGTCTTTGTTGTGTTTCTGAAGGCATCTAGGTTTGCGATCCTGGAACTCAGTGGTAGTTGGGATCTTTAACTCATGTCCCCAAATGACAGTACCAAAATGACTGAATTCACCAAAGCAGTTAAGAAACCTGAGCAGGGGATATTTTCAATACCGATGAGAAAAGCAAATTTACACTTCTTAGAATCTCACTGCATTGATGGTGAGAAGTGCTGGTTGCTTTTTTTTTTTTTTTTTCCCTAAGCAAAGAAGGTCCTGCGAATTCTTTCACTGTTTTATTCTCAGGGGAAATCTAATGATCCATTTGAAAGAGAGAAGAAATAGCAGTGATTCAAATCCTACACAGAGGACTGCATCAGACTGAGGCTGAACTATTCAAAACCCGAAGTTTAAGTGAACTAGAAACTAGGAGGGCCTGGGCCCCAGGTGAGGCTCGCTTCTTCCCTTAAAGAAGCACGCTCACTTCGTATGTGTACTCCCGAGGCTTCAAGTGTATCAAACACAAACTGATGATGCTACAAGCCAACATCGGGAGACGTGGACATCACTGTGGCCTAGTGCACACGCGACTGCTACCTCCTTCTTTGCCATTAAAAAAAAAATAAGTCAATAAACCTCCTGTAACAACCACACAGACACACCAAGGAGCTGTACCTCTTCAGGCAAGCTGACCACCAAGTCATCCTTCGTCTGTCCAACCAGGGCTTGCCAGAAGTATTCACTGCAAGCCGCCAGCACTGCCCGGTGGGCGCGGAACTCCTTCCTCTCCACAATCAGAGTCACGTCACAGAGAATGTCCTTTTTCCGTTGGTCATTGAGGCCCAGGAGGATGTTGGCACAGTGGACTGTGGACTCATACACATACATGGGGGAGTCAGGCTTCTCATCCACAGACATGCCGTTCAAACCCTGGAAGAAAGAACGGCTCGGTCAGTATCCCACAAGTGATAGGTAAGGTGGACGGTCAGAGTGCCCAGGTCCCCCAGCCAGGAGCCTGGCAGACGGGGAGCAGGGCTGCCAAGCAGCACAGTCATCCCGGGTTGGCATAACGAAGCCAGAAACATCTGGAAGCTGCTACCTGTTGCTTCCCTTCCACTTACTGCCTCTCTTTACCCTGAGTCTTTTAGTGGAACACCTCAACACTGGGTAGTTTTGATTTCATTAGGAGGCTAAAATGAAGCTTGTGTGTACAAACAGTCTAATTACTAACTGAGATTTGTGTTAAAAGGGAACAAATCATTTTTGAAGTATTTGAAATGCTGTTTTGATGAATTACATGTAAGTTCCTAAGTTGAAATTTGGCAAAGGTGTTAAGTAGACTAACTATTAAATCCTGAGATATTATTCAACAAACACACTAGACTGTATGTGCACTAAAGTGTAGTTATGTCTGTTATTCCATCTGCCCTCTACCCTGCATGGCAGAGTGTGAGCAATACAACATGGAAGTCATTCCTGTCTGGGATATGGAATGATGCCCTCATTATCTCAGAGGACCCAATGAACATCTTTAAGGAAACATTATTGCAATAGGAACCATGAGAAAAGATACATTCAAAGTAAGATTTACAAAGACTCCTTTGCTTTAAGAAGTACCCAGGGAGCATTTTTACAATGCACTGTCCACAAAGGTTGAACCACAGGTTAAGGTTTCAGTAATGCTTATTACCAGCATACATCCCAGTGGCAAACCCTTCTTTCTTCTGTCTTTATTTTCGCGTTTGAAAACAGCTTTAGTATATGATGCTGCAATATTTGGAGTGTATGCAATTGCCATTTGACATGTGTCTGCAACTGGGAAGCCATCGACACCATCAAGATGAACACACCCTCATCCCTCCAAGTCTGCTGTAGCCCTTCCCCCTCTCAGTAGCCCTGCAGCCACGGCTCAGCTTTCTGACATCTGTTTGCCTCTTCTGGAGTTACAGTTAGATGGAATACTGTTGATTCCGTCTGGATTATCTTACTCAGAATCATTATTTTGTCATCTCCAATTGCTGCTGCATATATCAAAGGTTTGTTCTTCCTCACATTCTGTTGGTGAGAATGTAAACTAGCGCAGCCGTTACGGAAACCAGCAGGGAGGTGTGTCAAAAAGCTCAACCCAGACTACTCATATGATACAGATGGACAACTCTTAGGTGTACACCTAAAGGAGCTGAAGCTGGCAAGCTGCAGAGGTACTTGCACATCTGTATTTATTGGAGCACTACTCAAACCACCAGGACGTGGAAAGAAACAGTCTAGATGCCAATACACAGACTAATGAACACAGAAAGCGCGGGCACATACACAATAGAGCTTTATTCTGCTTTAAAGAAGAATGTCATATTATTAGCAGGAAAATGTGTGGAACTGGAAAGTGAAATTAGCCAGACTTGGAAAGACAAATGTTGCAAGTCTTCTCTTATGTGCAAAATCTAGATTTAAATATGAAATTAGAAGGGGTCTATATTAAAAGAGAACAGGAGAAAAAATACAGAAAGATAAAATTTTCTTTCATATGCAGAACCTAGACTTTACACACATACACACATACACACACACACACACACACACACACACACACACACACACACACACCAGCAAGAAGGAGGGACAGATGAGGGTAGTGGGATCAAACATGAGCAAAGTATATGATCTATATCTATGAAAATACCATCATGGTAGGGAGGGAGGTTTAAGTGAGGAGAGCGATGGGAGGATAGGGCACAGGAGGCAGGAATAACGAACACTAAGGATTTTTGAAAAGGTCATATGGAAATCTACTATTTTATAAGCTTCCTAAATATATAAATGTATAAATATGTTTAACTGGAGGTATCCCACATGGGAGACCATGCTCCTCCCAGAAGCCACAAGATGCCAAATAAAAATCCCAGTAGTGTCCCAGACACCCCTAAACAATATAGGATATTACCATTGGTCTTGACTGTTCACTAGAACTTGATGGTAAAACCTGATTGTTGAAGTTATCATATACATTTGTCACAAGACGTGACAAAATCAAGTTGGTACTGACCAGGAAGTTTTCTCCCAGCTGGCTAGCTTTCATAGTACTGGAAGGTGCTATGTAGGCTGCTGGGAGAAAATGTCATCAACAATCTGTGAACCCTGCAAATCACAATAATAACTGGCATGACAAGAAACTCCCATGGGTGCAGTAGTGGCACTAGTATTATGGGAGTAACCAACCACTTTGCGATTGAATTTAAGGCTTTTTGTTCAGGAGGAAACAAATGCCTGGTACTGTAAAATTTGGCCACGAACCTATGGTTAGAGAACTCCTAGGCCCAGGCACCCCTACTATAATAATATATACTACTATATATAATAATAGAACCTACTTCTATTATCCTGCTAAACAGACTGTCTTCTTCCTTCTTATTTCTCTACCCATAGATCAGTGAGGCTCTCAAACCTCATCAGAGAAGTTTCTTTGTGCAGTGAGTGGTGGCTTAATGCAGAAACTTATGGCTGGTTAAGTACAGAGACTAGAGGTCACGGGATGCTCAGAACAAATGAGAGAATATGTTAAACCCCTCACAAAGGTTCTGGGATAATGATGGAAGAGGGACACAAAGATTCTAAGAGACAGAAGTTGGGGAGAATCTGAGCAAACCAGTGTTTTGGCAGGACTTGGTAGGACTGATACACTCATGAACTTAGAGCAGCATTGGTTGTCTGCACGGTATCAAGTCAGTCAACATTCTAGCATTGAGGGAGAAAGGGTTCATGAGCCTCCACCCAGAAATGAGGCGCTGTGGGCAGCTGATCACTTCTTGGGTAGGGTGAGTCAGGTTTCTTTGAGTGCGTGGCCTCTGGTAAGTCCACTGGAAGTTCCTGTAGATGACCACACAGTATGAGTAAATGGGGGGCACAAATTGAATTGGATGGGGGAAAGAGAGAGAGAGAGAGAGACAGAGAGAGAGAGAGAGACAGAGAGAGAGAGAGACAGAGAGAGAGAGAGACAGAGAGAGACAGAGAGGGAGGACACATGGTTTGGGAGGTAGGGAGGTAGAAATGGTTCTGGGAGGAGTTAGGGACAAGAGGTGGAGTGAATATGATGAAGATACATTGTATAAAATGATCAAATAATAAAAATATTAAAAACTAAATACCACAGGCAAAATCCATTATTTTGCATGCCAACTAAAAATTAATAAAAAGAAAAGTTTGTTATGTTATGGCTGAATCGTATTTACTGTGTGGATCTAGTCTCAGTTTTAAGCCATTCACATCCACTGCTGGATATCTGGATTGTTTCCAGTTTGGGGCTACTATGACTAAGAAGCCATACGGACAGGCACTTGAATTCCTCCTGGGAAGGATCCATGAGTGTGGATGGACCACAGGGCTTATACAAGTTCACGTTTTTTAAGAAACTGCCATTGTTTTCTCACACAACTGTGCCATCTTACCTTTCCCTAGAAGTATATGAGCACTGGTTCTTGACATTCTTGCCAACATTTGGCATGGCCAATCTTTGCAACCCTGAGCATCCTTGAGGCTGCACCGTGATGCCACCCTGTGGTTCTGATTTGCCTCCTGAAATGGCTGAAGATGCTGAGCACTTACTTCCAAGTGCTTATTTCTCATTGCCTATCCAGATACTTTGCCTGTTTCAATTTTTAAATTTAATTCCTGAGGCAGGGTCTTGCTTTAGCCCAGGCTAGCTTTCAACCCTCGATCCTTCTTCCTCTGCCTCATGAGTGCTGGGGATACACATGACACCATGTTAGACACTCCCTGTTTCAAACCCGGTTGTCTGTTTCTTCCTGTGGACTTCGGAGAGTTCTTACCGCTCTCAATGGTCCTCTATGTGACAGGTTAGTATTTTCCTCCACTTGTCCATTGCTTGTCTGCTTCTCGTAATATTTATTCTTAAAGTTTTCACTTGGTAAAACCCAATTATGTAACTTTCAAGAAACATATTGTGCTTCTGGTGTCAAATCTAAAATAAATTTTTAGTGCTGTATGAGTATTAATATATTTTCACAGGTTTATACCTAAGCATTCAAATATCATTTTAAAGTATCAACTGTTGACATTTCATTGTTAATATACAAGTGCTTGTTTCTTTTTCAGTGCTGGAGATCAAACTCAGGGCCTCTTGCTAGAATTCTAGGCAAATATTCCACTAAGCTACCTTGAAGAAACGATTTTGTGTAATGATTCTGTATCCTGAAACCTCACCTAAATCGCTTCTTAGTTCTCATAGGCCTTTCCCGAAGCTTCGATGACATTTCTACAGTGAAGATAATGCTGTCTGTAAATAAGAACGTTAACTCCTTTCTCGTCTGGATGCTGTATGTAGTTTTCTTCCTGGCCATGGACCAGTGGCTCTAGTGTAACACTGTGCAGAAGCGATGAGAATCAAATCCCTTGCCTTGCTGACGTTAAGGGGGAAACATCTCCTGTTTCCCAGGACGCATGACGTTGGCAACAGGTGTTTCACAGATGCCCCTGCGTGGCGATGAGGTTTCTTTCCATTCCACATCTTTTCACTTGCATTGCTTCAATCAGGAACTGCCCTCAGAATCCCAGCCCTGGGGAGGCCGAGGCAACGCCACAAATTTGAGGCTAGCCCGCCTAGTCCACACAGCAAGAACCTTCAGAGAGAAAGAGAGAAAGGAGGGGAGAGAGGAGGAGAGGGGAGGGAGAGAAAGGAGGGGAGAGAGGAGAGAGGGAAGGGAGAGAAGGGAGGGGAGAGAGGAGGAGAGGGGAGGGGAAGAAAGGAAGGGAGAGAGGAGGAGAGGGGAGGGGGAGAAAAGAGGGGAGAGAGGAGAGAGGGGAGGGAGAGAAAGGAAGGGAGAGAGGAGGAGAGGGGAGGGAGAGAAAGGAGGGGAGAGAGGAGGAGAGGGGAGGGAGAGAAAGGAGGGGAGAGAGTGGAGGAAAGAGGGGAGGGG